TGTGTAAACAAAAGTTTTACTGGTGCAGTGGGGGCGGGGTGGGAATGAAAAATTTGCATTATAGTCTTACAAGGTGAGGAAGATAAATACATTGTCCTAAAGACAAGTTTTGTAGTATTTGATAGAAAGGACTCATATTTAATTTCTTACAAGTCCTTCTTCTTATTTTCTCTTCAAACCGATTAAGAAGTCAGGCCTCCTTTTTGTCTTGTCTTGGAGCAAGAAAAATTCAATAGTGAGAACCTCAATAAATGAGTCAGGCCTCTACTCCAAATAATTAATTATTCTATTGCATTGGCATGGTTTTAGGTGAACACAGCTTCTAGGGGTGGTTTCTCGGACAGGAGATTGATTGACCTGGACTCATTGGAATGTCAGCTCTGCACCCAGACTAGAGCTCCTATTCTCATGATCAAGAAGAGCTTTCAAAGAATACTCTTTACCTGTCCCCAGAATGAAGTGTTCATCTAGAGGGAGGCGTGAGTAAGCAGCTCCCTCAAATTCTAACAATGTGGAAAACCTCAATGTGCTAAGCACAATTCTAAAGAACCAGATAAGCTTCATTGAGATTAAACTTGGCACAAGCACGGTTGCCAGCACCACCTCAAAGGATGCAAAGCTTGCTTATCACCTTCTTGGATGAAATTGCTTTGTATTTTTGTGCATGCAAACCCTGACACGATGCCCCTCAATATCGCATTTTAGATGAAGCTAAGAGAAAAGGCTACATCTGGAAGAACATAAGCACACATAGAACAGTGAAGAGAAAAGATTAGGAAATGGGAGAGCAAAAGAAGAATAAGATAGTCAGTTCTCATTTTTTTAGTATATGTTTCTTGCTTAGTATTTCATTTCTCATTCTTAAGAGTAAGGAATCTTCATCGTGTTTTTGCAAACCAACATTTGGCACTACTTCACACTTTTATATCTTCCTCCTCCTCTTCCTCCTTCCACTCCTCTTCCTCCTCCTCTCCCCTCCCCCTTATTTTTGTCACAGGAACCAGGAGAACTAAAGAAATCTGGGACCTTGGATCAAGAAAAAGGGACTTTCCTCAGATAAGCTTTCAGCAGGAAGTGGTTGGTTTTATGGTAGATGGAAGGTTATGGAAAATGAAAAAAAATGTATTTAAGAAAAAAAGTTTGCAGAGATAATCTCTGGGTATCTGGCAGAACTAAAAGCAAGACTGATCAAAACATGCTTAAGAATATATTTTGAGAACTGGGCAGTGGTGGTGCATGCCTTTAATCCTAGCACTCTGGAGGCAGAGGCAGGCAGATCTCCAAATTTGAGGCCAATCTGGTCTACAGAGTGAGTTCCAGGACAGCCAGAGCTATACTTAAAAATCTAAAAACCAAAAGCAAAGCAACAGAAAATAACATGTATTGAGCCAAGTGTGGTGGCACACACATTTAAACCCAGTACTTGGGAGGCAAAGGAAAGCAGATTTCTGAGTTCAAGGACAGCCTGGTCTACATATTTCCAGGCTAGTCAGGGCTATACAGTGAGACTATGTCTTAAAAACAAAACAGCAACAGTAGAAAACAATATATATCAAATAGAAGAGCTAAGTGATTGATGTCTTTTAAATTTGGAATTTAGGGACTGGAGAGATGACTCAGCAATTAAAAATAATTTCTACTCTTGCAAAGGACCTGGGTTTTGATACTGTAGCTCTAGTTTCAGGAAATCTAATGTCATCTATATACATACAAGCAAAACTCCCATACACATAAAATAAAAGCAAAATCTTAAAAAATATAAATTTAGAGTTTATATAATGTATCAATATACTATATTACATTTTGTATACAGTACAAATTATTAGTAAAAATCTTCCCAGGCCCAGTTTTCTAAAAGAAAACAAACTTTAAAAATTCACCTTATGGTATTTACCTCTTGAGGTGACTAATTTGATCATAAACCCAAAGCAAAAGAATAAAATTAATCATTAATACTTAACAAAGCATTTGGTAGATAATCAAACCCTGTACTGGATATTTTAATAGGCTATCTAATTTTGCCCCACAACTAACACATGTACAAGGTGGGTTGACCTTATCAATATTTATAATATCTGAACAGTAGGCACATACATACAAGCATACATGAGCAGACATATATGCAGAAGTACATTGTGTGTGTGTGTGTTAGCAAGTGTGCTTAGCATCAGCTTTGACTCAATTACCTTTCTGGAAAGTTTTCAACCTATTCAGCATTATTTTTTTTATAAACTGACAGTCAAGCAAGGGGAATGGATGGCTAATTCTCAAACTATGAAATCAAAGCAAGTTTGAAATGCACCTTTTATAGACGGTGGATAACTAGCTGTGGGAGAAGAAGGATATTGGTTAGGACAGAAAGATGAGAGATACAAAGTGGATGAAGAGAGAGATGTTAGGAATATTTCCTAATGCGAGCTCTCTGCCAACGCAAAAATCCCAATCAAGCCAAATCACAACAAGCTGAATTAAAGGAGGTCCAGGTTTAATGGTATTTCTCTGCTCTTGGGTGGCCCCTGAGGGGGAACCAGGAAGCTGCCAACATGACCACCTGGGGGAAAGAGGGAAGACCAGGAAGGGACTCTCCAGGGAGCAGTTTAAACAGACTAGGGGAGTGGTCAAGGTTTGGTGGGCACAGGGGTGGGGCCTCCAAAGATGGAGGCCAGAGACTGGGACATACCTTCCAGACTGTTTGTATAAGGGGTGACAGGAAGCTGAGGTGATATTGTGACTAACATTCAGGCTCTCTTTAGAAAGACTCAAGTCCAGCTACTTCCTGTGGGCATGAAATGATGTGGGGAAGGGGAGAGCTGTTGGTGGGTCCACGCTCAGTGAGAGGTATGGCTGGAAAGGCATCCTGTGTACTGTCATCCCAGAGATGCCAGGCATCTGTTCCTTGGGGGAGGTGAGAAGACAGGTGTCATGTGAGGTTCTGTCCATTGAAGTTTGAGAGACCTAGAAGTTAGCCAAGGATATCTCAACCCAGAAAAGGTACTGGGCAAGCAGGTATCACTAAGAAAGAATGATAGAAAACTTGTCCTACATTCTTGTAGGACAGTGGCAAAGTTTTAATTAGGGAGGAACAGGTTCCCCTCTACTCCCATAACTGAAATTGGTGAGGGGAACGTAAGGCCTGAGTGAGATGTTAGAACAGAATAGGTAGCTCCCATGTCCAAAATAAAAGTAATGAACTTATGTGCTACCTGCAGCTTTACCCTAGGCTTGGATAGGGTTACAGGATATACCAAGTCTGGGCAGTGTCAATCCTCTGCAAGGCTGAGAAGTTCAAAGGCTGACACAGTTTCACTTGCCCATGTTGGTAAGGCCGGACCTCCATGGTGTGGCATAGAGGACAAGCCTGCATACGGGCATTGTGATTTCCAGTGTCCAGGTTGCTGGCAGATAGGACTTGGCCTCTTAGGAGGCATAGTGCAATATTGTGCCATGTGGCCATTTTGGCCACACTTGGAACAGCTTGCCTGTGAGGTTGACTTAGGCTGGGCTCCATCAGGGTAGAGCCTTGTGGTTGGCTTCCCTTGTCCCCCTTCCTGTAGCCTTAAGGCAGTTGCTAAATCCTGAGCTTGAATGGCTGGATTTTTTTTTTCTTTTTCGAGACAGGGTTTCTCTGTGGTTTTGGAGCCTGTCCTGGAACTAGCTCTTGTAGACCAGGCTGGTCTTGAACTCACAGAGATCTGCCTGCCTCTGCCTCCTAAGTGCTGGGATTAAAGGCATGTGCCACCACCGCCTGGCGAATGGCTGGATTTTTAAAATTAACTACTTTATTTTTCTGAAGCCATTCCCATACCCTGAATGAGGCAACGAACCATAATGTTTCACCTCTGTAATGAAACTCTTTACTATAAGCAGAAGGATTAATAGAAAAGGAACCTAGGCACTTTTCTATCTGAGAGAGATCTGGAAGAGAAAAGGGAACATGGACTTTCATAATGCTAGCGACTCCCACCATCTCCCGGAGATGGCAGAGAAGGGCGGAGCTATGGTGGGATCTGGTATGGGAGGAAACTGGGGAGGGTTGGAAGGGGCTAGCCCAGTGTATAGAGGGGGTACAAAGGGTGGGGAGCTGTGGTAGAAGGGGGGGGAGGTGGGGAAGGTGGAAGTTGACCTTGAACTTCCAGATTAGAAAAGAGGGGGTAGGCAAGGACAGGGAAAGAGAGGGATGTGGAGAATGTTGCTCCACAGGAGGGGGTGGGTAGTGTGGGTTTGAGGGAGTGGGTGAGGGGCCAGTGCCTCTGGCTGCATGGTCCAGCTAGAATTGTGGAAGTCCTGGGAATTTTAGGCATCGCAGTCCTAGCAACCAAGGCTGGTGCTGCAAGATACTGGCTACTGAGGGAAGGGCAAGAGTTCAGAGCCCAAAAAACATGGACCTATGTAAGCTCTGCCCATTTGTCCCTATGGTGACAAAAATTTTCTAGGTCCCAGAGGATGGTAAGCTTTAAGAGGCATCCCAGGGGCAGCAGCAGATCTGCCTTTGAACTGCAAGTGCCCATTTTAAAGTCTATGCCCAACTGCATGGCCTAAGTCTATTACAGCGTGTCTGCCAAAGTAGCTCTTAGGCCTAAGCGGGGTCGTGAAAATTGACTGCTAAGCATCCCTAAAACAAATAAAATTCACCTCAGGTAGGCCCGGCCTAGCTGCTGAGACTCTTGGAGAGGGCCGCATCTTCCACAAGAGTCTGATAATTGATAAAAGTAAATATGAATAGGTCCCCCAAAACCCTATAGCATAGACAAGAAAAAGGGACTCACCAAGACACAGCTGCTGTAGTCTGGGAGCATGTTTTAGCCTGGCATGGACAGCTCAGATTGTGGACTATGGTGCTTTCGATGTGTGGCAAGGCCACCCTATCTTGGTGGGACCTCCAGATATTAGGAATATTTCCTAATGCGAGCTCTCCGCTGATGCAAAAATCCCAATCAAGCCAAATCACAACAAGCCGAACTAAAGGAGGTTCAGGTATAATGGGATTTCTGTGCTCTCAGGTGCCTTTGGGGGATCTGGGAAGCTGCCAACATGACTACTCAGGGGAAAGAGGGAAGACCATGAAGGGACTTACAAGAGAGGTGAAGAAGGGGTATGTATTCTCTTATTACTCAAATAGGGGCTACATTTTATGAAAACAGGAGAATATATTGCAGTGTAAAGAAGCCTGCTCATCTAGTTACCTCATCTGCGTAGATTTTCCCAGAAGGTCATATATAACTAGTCTCATCTTGAGACATTAAGGAAAAAGCAATGGGCATAAAGGCTTGTGATGGTTTATATTGATTTTCAACTTGTCAGCATCTAGAATCATTTAGGAGCCTTGTTTCTTGGCATATTTATGAAGAAATTTCTAGATTGGGATAACTGAAGTGGATGAACCACCCTAATAGTGGACATCATGTGGGTTCTTTAAAAAAAAAGTTATTTGAGCACCAACATTCATCAAGCTCTCATTCTTGATTATAGATACCATGTGACCAGCTGCCTTCCAGCTCCAGTTTGCATGGTCTCTCCACCACTATGGACTGCTCTCTGGATCTGCTGGCCAAAAGAAACCCTCCCTCCCTCCCTTCCTTCCTTCCTTCCTTCCTTCCTTCCTTCCTTCCTTCCTTCCTTCCTTCCTTTCTTCCTTCCCTCCTTCCTTTTGTTGGGTATTTTGTTACAGAAATAAAAAAAGTAACAAATACAGTGGTGGAAGCAGATTTGATACTCTGTGCTCTTATTTTTATGTGGCCCTTCTACTAGTAAACAATGCTTAACACACACCTGACATGTTGCTGCATAAATACATGGGGTATGTAAAAATGATAGCCACAAATATATTTAAAGAAGGTGATTATACATTTTTCTCCTTTTTTCTTATTTTTCGTTTCTTTATTTCAAAAGTAAACAAACCATACCAATTTTGCATACCAATCCCAGTTCTCCCTCCCTCCCCTGCCATTCCTTCCACCTATTCCCACCCCATGCCCATCCACTCCTCAGAGAGGGTAAGGCACATTACTTTGGGGAGGGTCCAAGGCCCTCCTTACTATATCTAGGCTGAGAAAGCTATCCATCCACAGAAAATGGGTTCCCAAAAAGCCAGTACAAGCAGTAGAGATAAATCCTGGTGCCACTGCAGTCTGCCCCAGACATACAACTATACAACTGTCACGCACATTCAGAGGCTTCTCCAGCCAACCGGCAGGCAAGTTTCCTGCAGGTAGGCTGCTGCAATACCCCCATCCCATCGATCCCACTCTGCCCCCAAACTCTTATACTCCCTGCCCCCCTGCAACCTCAGAGGAACTCTGAAACACAGGCTACAAATTTACGAAGAGGACGAAAAGACCAGATACCATTACTCTCTAGGCCCTCCATACGAGGGCAAAACTCTGGGCCCCTCCCACACCTGCCTTAGCTCCTCTACCCATCCAGCAGGCAAACTTCCTGCAGGTAGGCTGCTCCAAAACCCCTATCTTGTATTTGTTTTTATATGTTTCTTTCCACTTTGGAGATCCAGCTAAGGAGCTCAGAAATAGGACATCAGCACCCAGGAGAGATGTCATACTCCACTAGATGGCACTCTCTGTTAGGTGAAACTGCAGTTGGCACCTAGGTATTCAGGAAGATATTAGGAGAATTATAGTAAACCTATCTCGCCCTCCCAGCCCCCTCACACACAATTTAAGTAGCAGTTTCATTGTCCAGGCTGAGATTCTATTAGCTCAAATTTGTCCCAATACTCTTGTTCATTTTTTTTCATATCTTAGCTCTGAGCAGAACTGCCACCTCTAGAGAAAGTATTTCTCCACCTCCTAAATAGGGCCTAGTGGGGAGCTCTCTTTGTGTGTTTAAGTGCAGCTCTAGTCACTGGGAGTGGGGGAATCAAGGGTCATACACAGAAGAGAAGGAGCTTCTGTGCACCCCGGCCTCTCAAGCTTTATTTATTAAAGAGATCCACTTATGAGCAGCTGCTGGGGGCTCCTGAGGAAGATGTGCTTCCTAAGTTTCTCTCTGGGCCAGCTTCCTCACCAATGTTTGGGTTAGTTGCTGAAGTGCACATTCCTGGGCCCCAGTGACCAGAATTTCTGGTCTGCTCTGGCCTGGAATGCACCTTGTTTCCAAGCTCTTTGGGATGATCTAGTCCCAGATGACTTGAGGACAACCGAATAGTCAGGCTGGATCGAGATAATTCTGTTTTGGGTGGGTCCGGGGCTTTCTTGATAACTTTCAGCAGTCACCTTCACCTCTCCAATGGGTCACTCATCAGTCCTCAGCTCACTTGCTATCTTCAAGATGAAACCATTAACCCCAATCTCATAGCCTGAAACTATGATTTAATGGAATAAACGAAGCTCCTAGTTTGCATTTGCTGCTTAATAAACATAACTTCTTTCTTTCTCTCCCACCCCACCATTGGAAAACGGTGTGGGGGTGCCAGTGACTTCATCTTGTAGCCTTCTTCCAAAGATCCTAATCACTTTCTCTTTGCCTGCCAATCCGTTTTATGGTCCAGCCCTCATGAACAGGAACAAAAATAGAGGGTATTTTAAAACCCATTTTCCAAGAAGCAGGCATGTTGACACACACTTGTAATCCCAGAATTTAAGAGGCTGAGGAAGAAGAATTACTGAGGCTGGCCTGGGCTACATAGCAATACCTTAACCCAGAAAAACTGAAACAAAACCTAAAGGCCCAAACCTCTAGCCCAAGCAAAATGCATTCTCCTCTTTCATTAGTTAGCTTAACCTGGAATGTTGCTCTTCTCAAAGATTCTGTCCTCATCTGTCAATAGGCAAGAATAACAATGTGTTAAAAAAAAAGTCCCTTGTGGGTTATGTTATCCAGGAATTGCAGCCATGATGCCTCAATCTAAAGGAAACTACACTGTGGGAAATGCAGGCCTAAGAATAAGACATATGAGCTTATTTAATTAGTATCACCGGCTAACTGTCTTAGTTACTGTTTTATTGTTGTGAAGAGACACAGTGACCAAGAATGAAGAAAAGAAAACATTTCATCAGAGTTTGCTTGCAGGTCAGTGGGACAGTAGCTGACTAGAAAGTTGGAAGCAGAGAACAAGAGACTAGGCCTGGCGTGGAGTTTTCAAACCTTAAAACCCACCCCCCCAGTTCGACACCTCCTCCAACAAAACCATACCCCCTACTCCTTCCCAAACACTCTAGCACTTGAGCACAAACATTGAAATATATGAGTCCATGGGGCAATTCTCATTCAAAACATCACAGAACCTCTTCCCTGGATGGTGGGTATCCATCTGGACCTTGTCCGAAGATATTGTTCACTGTGACCACAGGAGAACAACCAAGTTCCGATTAGTTACAGAGCTCAGGGATCTTTGGACCAGAGTGGCCTTCCTGAATAATGGGCCACAAATATGGGCTAATGTAGCTGTCAGTATCTTTTTTTCCGCCACAAGATGTCAACTCTTACAGTTTGTTGCTACATAAATCCCTGGAAAGTTCATTCCACTGATAGTGATATCATGTGCCAGTGTTTGGCCAACAGAAACAAGACAGTGGCCTTGTTATGCACCTCTGCATAGTCTTAGCCTTGAGAGTTGTGTCCAGCTCGAAGGACATTAACAGTTATATTTTTTCTGCGGAGGCTGCTGCCTGCCTCCCACTGCCAGCTGCTGGGTTTGAGGACTGTCTTCTACAGAGCCACCAGGACTTCCTCTTTCCCTGCAGACTCTATCAGATGATTTCTGGGGAGTATTCATTTTGAAACACTGTGACTCAAACCTCTTCAGTCATTTTAAGTCTAGGGTTTTTTCCCCCAAAAGTTTAAATTAATGTAAATTATCAAGAAGGGACAGAGATGAGCATGCAAAGGAATGCAGTTACTCAAATGCCATAAAATGTATCAGAAATGAACTGTTATCTGAAATTCAGGTAATTGTCCAGGTGGAGTACCTGGCTGTTTCTAATTAAGTTGGAAGTTGAGATAAGAAAGAATCTGAGTCAGGTGTGGTGTGCATGTCTTTGGAGGCAGAGATAGGCCGATTTCTATGAGTATGAGACCAGTCTGGAAGACAGAGTGCTAGTTCCAGGAGAGCTAGAGCTACACAAAGAAACCACATCTCAAAAAACAAACAGCAACAAAGAAGGAAAGAAAGAAAAGAGGAAAGACTCTGTATTTGGACGAGACAGAGCACGATATCACTAAGCCAATTAGAGACAATCATGCTCACTCAAGTAGGGAAAGGAAACAGGTTTTAACCCCACAGTCGCACATAGGTAAATGGCCACTGAAGAGTCCACCTACAACCCTGGCTACCTTCTTCTTTCTCAGGAATTCCTAGAGGGTTTTTATGGGCTTCTAGAATCAAAATGAAACCAAGAGGAATGGAGAAATAAAAGAAGAACAGAGAGAAAGGATGGAAGGAAGGAAGGAAGGAAGGAAAGAAGGAAGGAAGGAAGGAAGGAAGGAAGGAAGGAAGGAAGGAAGGAAGGAAGGAAAAAGTCTACTAGTGGGAGAGAGGATGAAATCCCAAGTGAATGTACATTATTGACATGTACATGGCCATGTCAAGAACTCCAATGCCTCAGACCCTTAGGAATGACAAGGTCTTTCCCGAATGGAAGTATGGATGGATATGGATGGCATGTGCTAAAAGTATGAAGCAAAGCTTCTTCCTCCTGAATGACTGCAGCCTGAGATCACCCCTTACCCTATAGAAGCACCCTACTGGGGTTAGCTAACCCACCTCCTCCTCCTTTGATCAGTTTTTCTGCTGCTGGTGCGTCTCCATCAGGGTGCGTAGCCCACCAAATCCCAACTTTTTTTGTAGGTGCGTCTGTTATGTCCCAGTTAGGTTAATATGAAAGCCATGCAGGTCAGGGCAGAACTTAGGGTATGAAGCTGTCCTGTTGTAATTTCAGCCTCACTACAACCTTGGCCTCCTCTGATCACCAAGGATCACCATGACCACACCTTCTGGTCAAGCGTTTGGGACCTTTTCTTCTTTCTGCCTTCACCCTCCTCTGTAGTGACTTCCTAATATCTTTTCTCACATTAATTCTTTGGTTGCTTCCTTCTCATACTGCTGGCTATTTGGCCTTCAGTTTGAACAAAGAAATTCCTGACATTCCTTAGCTCAACTTTCTATCACATGCAACTGGCGGCGTATCCCAGAGCCTGACAACCAAAACTCCAAGAAGAAATGAATAATTCTACTCAGTTGTGGTGCCTATGAACTATAATATTGACCAGCATTGCACAGTTACCCTAAGGATGCTACAGTGGCATTCATCAAGGTGGTAACCTTGTTCACTACTTGGACCTATGGCCAATTCAATATGAGGAAACTCTAGCCTGGTACTAGAAAGCTAGCCAACTACCCCCAGCTAGTGAGGCCATAGATTTTAGAGGAGAATCTACTACCAAACCACAATTGCTAACAATACTCTGAATATTTATCTAGGTATCCACAGATGAATATAGTTCTCACCCCTCATCAAAGAAACTTCTCTTTGCAACATATGAGAGACCATTACAGAAAAGTACAACTGGTCAAAATGTAGAGAACAAGTGACAGTGTGGTACCCAGCAATCATTGATACATCTATAACAGTACTCCTGCATCTAACGCTCAGAGAACATCTTGAAAGTGGAGGTAGATATACTGTAAAAAGCCAAAGGATCAAGGAATCTGCTCTGAGATTTTGTGTTCTAGAAATGACAGGGAAGCTTT